TAAGCTCGCGCTCACTGAGATAGAAGTGGCAATCCAAACCAAAGTTACAACACCAGGCATGCATTGGTTTGGATCGCATGTTCGGTTCATGCATGAACCGAACATGAATAAGTCATCTCGTTATCAATAAAAGTAAAGTGAATAAAAATTGAATCATTCGCTAATCCTGGCTTTTGTATGTTGCGGTTTTGCTAAATAATTCATCGATGAAGCAAGCTTCCGTGTAACAGTTCCATTGCCGACGGCAATGGAACTGTTTGGTGCGAACACTAAAATGCTGAGAAAAGCTAATTCTCTATGCCATCAGTGAATAACAGAACCAATTCGATGTTTGGTGCAAACACAAAAATGCTGAGGAAATCTAATTCTTTATGCCATCAGTGAATAACAGAACCAATTCACAGACAGACAGACAGACAGACAGACAAGAAGTGAAGTTAAAGAGAAGTGTTGTAATAATATAATATAAGATAATGTAATATAATATAATATAATTTAATATAATATAATATAAGATAATGTAATATAATCTCCCCTATGAAATGCACTTGGGCTGCTCGCCGCACTCGCGGCTATGATCGGGAAGAATATTTTTCCGTAAATCTTTGCACGGCATTTGCTCGCGTCTATTCGGTGCCCAGGATTTGTTGGTTTTTCATTCATCTTTGGAATCTTTAAATTCGAGCTTTAAATATATAGCTGAATTTTATGATTAGATTCGGAGAAATTTCCCGCGCATTTTGTTCTGGAATTCAGGGCCTATACTTTCAAAAAAAAGTTAAGAAATCGTAAGTTCATCAGCCAATCATTGACGGCCTTTCAAGCAAAATCTACTAATCATAGACAAGAAAATAGAGCGTAAGTACTTAAGTTCACTTAGCGAATTTTGAAAGTATGGCCCCAGAGCTCTAAGGGAAATCGTATGAGAGTAGTTCTTCTAATGCATATGTATAAATACAACACTGAGGTTGCTAGGTGGGATCGGTACTTGCACGTACTATAAATAGAAAATTTTAAATTAAATTACTCAATTTTTCCTAATGTAAGTAACACATAAATCTTTAGAAGCAGCAACCGTTGATTTGAAACTACAAATTTATTATTTTAATTTAAATTCTCTTTCATAAATTCTATCGATATTCTTGCATTATTTAGAAAGTTTAATATGACATAAGGAAATTTCGATGACTGCACTAGTATGCGACTGAACCTCTCGAAGGATCTGGGCCCAAACTTTCAGAAAAAGTTAAGAGACCGTAAGTCTGTCAGCCAATCATTGACGGCCTTTCAAGCAAAATCCACCAATCATAGACAAGAAAATAGAGCGTAAGTACTTACGTTCACTTAGCCAGTTTTCAAAGTATGGCCCCTAATTCCTTCAGATCTATTATGCATGTGCAATGATTAGCCAGCGGTTTGGGACTGCATATAATGACTTTGCTGCGCTATAACTAGCTATAAATTCATCCGAAGCATCATATAATAGGACATCGGCACTATAAACTGGAATAACTATGCAATAACATGCATTAAATTAGCCTATTACTGCATATAACGACACTGCTGCGCAATAACTTGATATAGATTCAAATGGAACATTATAAAATGAAATTATACTGTACTATTTTAAATAATTATTGTTGTGCTATAACCTGCTAAATATTCATATAATGTACTTGCTTTAAGTTGAATTGCTATGCTATAACTTGTTATAAATCCATCGGAAACTGTATTATAAGTTATACGCAGAACTATTACATATAACAAATTTACTAGAGATATTCGCAGTGATCATACGCGGTTTAGGATCAATGAATTTATGGGTTGCATCATGAATTTCATCCCCATGTTCATCGTGAATTTCATCCCCATGTTCATCATGAATTTCATCCCCATGTTCATCATGAATTTCATCCCTATGTTCATTATGAATTTCATCCCCATGTACTGCGCCGGATTTGCCGAGATTACAGATGGTCCATCTATGGCTTATCTTAAAGTATTGCACACGCTCCGCCAATAAATGTTAAATAAGATTTTAAGCCAGAATCTTTCAGTAAAAGTGATAAATATCATATATAATGTTTGAAAGTCAAGATTAAATAAAGAGGGAAATCCTTTTAGTCAGTATACAGGCGTTCTAAGTATGTTTATTTGGTCACCCGGGACCACTAACATGTACGAGAGGCTTCTTTGATCATGACTTCAGTGACAAAGATCTTTCGAATTGCCTCTTATTGCATGTCTCAACTTTTTTAACCCAGTAAATAGTTTTTTAAGCCACAACAAAAACTTTAACATGACTTGATAGATGATGCAAGAAAATAAATTCATTTAACCGAGCTTGAGGATGGATTATATATGCATGGGCCATTTGTAGGGTGCATCGTTAATTGGATTAGTGAAATTCATAAATGCCTCAAAATTATATCAATAGTATATAAGATATGATTAAATTAGTATTGAAAAATTATTGGCATCTAAAAATGATGCTATGAATCATAATTATTTGCATTGAGATACGTTTTTAAATTTAATTTAAATCTTTATGATTTTAGGGTTTTTATTAGAAGGTCTGGTTTCATCACGTTTCAGAAATTCATTTTAATGGTTAAATCATCACTGCGTGGCATTTAATTGGTTATAATAGACAATTTGGTAATGATTTCAGAATTATTCAGCTAGTTGGTATTGTTTAGTGAGGCTGATTATAATTCATATAATTTCTAATCAAATTTCTTTGGACCATTTATACAACAGTTCTCAAATAATAGTTCTAAAATCTACAGTTCTCATTGAATTTTCTACTAGATTATTGTTCCTCGATCGCCATTTGCTGCGGCTGTTAACTTCTAAAGCGGATCTACTAAAGCGCAGGATGCGCCCAAGTAAAGCTGTAGCGCTGTTACAGCAGGCGTGAACGCTCTTGTCGCTTCTGCCCCCCGTTAATTCTCGTGAGATTTTCAGCAAGGCGCCATGAGGAAAATATCCTGTCGAAAAATTATTGTATATACGTATAACCGAACTTAGCAACAGAAATATCCTGTCGCTTCTGCCCCTTGTTAATTCTCGTGAGATTTTCTGCAAGGCGCCATGAGAAAACTTCATCATAATTTGATGCCAAGTTGGTGGATATCGGATAGCCAAGCCGTCGATAATATTCATGAGATTTGCCGTCAGAGCAGCAGACTTGAGGCAACTTCAGCAAATTTTCCAGCATATGCCTATAAAAATTAGATGATAAAATTATTGTACGCTGTAAAGTAACATTTCACAGCATCGAAAGGTTTATCGTACTAGGGAGCATCGCTGCTGGGTGCAGCAAATCGTTGACACCGCATAAAATGACGCAGGATTACAGTACACACAGTAAATGTCGTTTAATAAACTACGCAATATAAAAATTGTGATGGAATTTATGACGGGATAAAATTATTTCCCAGATTCTTTTCAATGAAAATTCGTAGAAAATTCCAAGTTTGATTTTTAAAAAGTTATTCGATATGCAACAAGTTTCATTCATATTCGGTTGACAGGTCGTTCTCACCTGTAGTCCAGAGAACTGAAACTGAAGCATAAACCTATTTCTAAGTTTTAAAAATTCGCAGTTTATTTGACGAGCGGAATTTGCCAGGTGTTTTGTCGGGTTCTCAGTTAATGAAGCTCATCAAGCAGGTCTGGCAACAGACAAGCGTATTTCCTGAGGTTTGATTAACGAGCGAGTATGTCGAGGCTGTACGAGGCAAACCACATTAAACTTACATGTCAATTAATCAAGAGGAGGAAAAATAAATTCTAATATTTCATTTTGTAATGTATGAAGTTACGCGCGTGAAAGGTGGGAAGAACACGGCAGCACGGAACAGGCTTTATTGGAACCAACATAACGGACATGAAACAAGAACGAAGGCTTACGGAGCACGACTTCTAAACGTGCTTCTTCTTAGCGGCTAATTATTAAGAATACAGGAACTTTAAATGCTACACATTTGATGAAAATGCAAGAATTGAAGCAGGGAAACGTCAATCATTTAATTAATTGTCGGCTCATGTTTCAAGAATCTATCGGTAATTCAACTGTCTTCTTTGAATTTTATCAACTGAAATTAACAGAATTTTCAGCGTCGGTACACTAAATCTTACATACGTAAAATACTTTGTTCATAAAGAAGCCGATGGTATTTTATATGTGAACCGCGCCACGCTATATTCGTGGAGGACATGAAAAATACCAACGATTTGATTGATCGTCCAAAATTTCATAATCCGTTTATAAATGGTAATAAGGATACCATATAATAACGACCCTTCTTAACGCCCATTCAAACTGGCTGAGCATTCTCCGCGAACTTGATTTGTAAACGTTTACGAACAAGATTCAAGTTGGTATAAGTACCCGCCTGTGCTCTATAGTGTTTTTAAACCCGCTTGATGAACATTGGCAGCCGTTCAGTTGCTGTAGTTAACGAACGTTTTATATGCGAGAACAGATAACCGATAATGTGTGACTTTTTGCTGCTGGAGAGCATTCGCAAACAATACTCGGTTAATGTTATAGAGCATATAGGACTGAAGTGTTGCTGTAAACAGGCAGTCTGATGGTTACATTGAAAATTTGTATTCAGACGGTTAATTCGCAGGTCATTCAGACGATTATTGCACCGGGCATTTAAACGGTTATGCGCAGGGCAATTATACAGATTATTCAGGAGAATATAGTGCAGGAGCAAGAAGGCATGCTGACGCCTTCAAATATCATATCATATAGTGATGTAGGCGCTGAAGAATAGGCCTGATGTGGCCTGTCACCGAATCTTGTACTTTTCGTGACTCGTTCACAGGAAATCTGAATACAGGTCCTTTGACCAGATCTTTGAAGCTGACGATAGTTTGAAATATTTACTAGACTTCCCTCAGGTGAGATATGGTGCTAGGCATTTCAAGTCTGAGCATTTATTTTTCAATACCTTTTTCTAGTCCGTTCTTGAACACGTTCTTACTCGGGGCGTCAAGTGAACAGACCTAAGGTTATCCTGAGTGAGTGATCCTGTGTAATATAATGAATGTCATAGAGTGAGGACACAAATCCATTTAGAAACATTCAAGTACGAGGCTCGTACGTAAAAGAGTAACTCAGAGTGAGAGCGCATACAGATACAGGAATAAAGAAAGCTTTGTTACGTAGAAATAACAAACATTGAGTGAGATCATTAGCTGAATGTAGGCCAACCAAGAGTGAGGGCACACAGAGTGATGGTACGCAGAGTGAGGGCACACAGAGTGAGGGCAGCAGAATGAGGGCGCACAGAGTGATGGCACACAGAGTGAAGGCAGCAGAGTGAGGGCACAGAGTTTGAGGGCACACAGAGTGAGGGCATCAGAGTGAGGGCGTCAGAGTGAGGGCAGCAGAGTGAGGGCAGCAGAGTGAGGGCAGCAGAGTGAGGGCACCAGAGCGAGGGCACACAGATTGTGGGCACACAGAGTGAGGGCATCAAAGTGAGGGCATCAGAGTGAGGGCACCAGAGTGAGGGCATCAGAGTGAGGGCAGTAGAGTGAGGGCATCAGAGTGAGGGCACCAGAGTGAGGGCATCAGAGTGAGGGCACACAGAGTGAGGGCATCAGAGTGAGGGCAGCAGAGTGAGGGCAGCAGAGTGAGGGCATCAGAGTGAGGGCAGCAGAGTGAGGGCATCAGAGTGAGGGCATCAGAGTGAGGGCATCAGAGTGAGGGCATCAGAGTGAGGGCATCAGAGTGAGGGCATCAGAGTGAGGGCATCAGAGTGAGGGCACGCTGCTGCAGCGGCCGGTCCAGCAGCACCACAGCTTTAACGCTCCTGCGATGTTGCGGCGTCTAACAAGCTCTGCCTTTCGTAGGCACGGCCTCTTCATTCATGGCCTACTGCGCTCGTCAACATTCAACCATGAAAAACATTCAACTCTTGAAAAACATTCAATCCTGAAAAATGGTTTTAACCCTGAAAAACATTCAATTCTTGAAAAACATTCAACTTCAAAAAGCATTCAACCCTGAAAACTTTCAACCCTGAAAAACATACAACCATGAAAAATATTCAACGATAAGAAACATTCAACCTTGAAAAAAACATTCAACTTCGAAAAACATTAAACTCTGAAAAAATTTCTATTTTGAAAAACATTCAACCCTGAAAATAGTCAAACCTAAAAAACGTTCAACCCTGGAAAACATTCAACCCTAAAAAAACTTCAACCCTGGAAAACCTTCAACCCTGAAAAACATTCAACCCTGAAAAACATTCAACCCTGAAAAACATCCAACCCTGAAAAACATTCAACCTTGAAAATCATTCAACCTGAAAAACTTTCAACCCCAAAAGGACAAGCAAACTGGAGGAGCCCACTTCTTGTACCCTCATTAGAACGATTGGGTTATATTGACCAAATGGTGACACAATTTCTGCACGTAGCACTGATACCCTATTTTATCTGGCAAATTGTCACTCATGACGACACTATTTTTCAAAAAAGTTCGTGTATTCCATGATTCTATAGTAAATATCCTTTTCCTGATTGAAGACAGTGCATAGACGCTTCAAATAAAATTTCAATTATTTCAATAATAAATTGAACAAATACAATTTACTTTAAATCAAATTCTTTCGTTCTTAAGACGGCTATGGTTTAATGGAATCGTATTTATTAACCTCTAATTTTTGTGAAAAAAATCCTTTTCATATAATCGTTGACAAACACATCACATTTTTGCCGAACTTTTTACTCTGAACTACTGTATAATCAAGAGCCGAACTCTTCAAGGTTATATTGCTCTTTGTATCAAATATTATTATATTATTATCAAATATAATCAAAAATAAAAAATAAAAAATCAAATAAAAAAATTCTAATATCAAAGCAAAAATAAAAAAAAATAAAAATTATACTCAAAAATAAGAAGCATGACAAGATGCGCGAGAATAGAAAGTTGTTATTTCGTTGGTGTTCATCGGTCTAAATAAGAATTTTAATGCAATTTTTAAGCGGGAAGTTACAACGGCGAAGTTCGACCAGTAGAACGAGAAGCACAAATTTCTGCATGAATACATTAGCGGCTGTTATTTCTTTGAGTTATGGCATGTTGACCTTGAAGGATCCCAGAAGTCCTTGAAGGATCTCATCTTCCGACATCAGCATACGCTTCATCAAGTCTTGCGCTTCATCAAGTCTTGCGCTTCATCTAGTCTTGCGCTTCATCAAGTCTGGCAAAGCTGTTGGCCTCTGAGGTCACCTGAAAGTTATTCTTTCTAATTCTAAAACTTCATGGCCATGCGAGGGAAATAAAAAAAACTTAGTTATAATCACTTAATGCGATGTGTTACTATGTATTACATTAAAAATAATCGCTGTTAATTTCTTAAAAAATTCATTGGAAAATAACTAAACACCTGTAGCGAGGTTGTGTAATATATTGATATTAAATGTAATATATTGATTTTTGTGTTTTTCAGTCGTGTCTCTAGGATGAGTCAATGCACACGATCGAAACACGATAGTGAATGCAAACTATATTTGTTGCGTAGGCGTTCGGGAAACTTGATGGAATCTTAAGGCCATCTCTTAGTGACAAGCCGTGAGAAATTTAATGCTATTTTGGACCAGCTCTGCATTTCACACTACGAGGTTATATTCTCATAATAAATTTTTAGAAAAATCATTTTGTTCTGTGTTAGTCAAATAGTATAGTAACATTTTTAATACATATTTTTTTGTATTTCATTGCGAATGAGTTGCCCGTATAGCTCTCCATATTGCCTATGAAGTTTTATACTCCCGTAACAAATTTTGCATGATTTTTTCCCCGATCTTGTTTAAATTTTTTAAACTGCAGGAAACAAACGAGGCACGTATCAGTTAAAAGATTTTTCTAAAGATTTAAATTGTTTTCATTTGCTAGCAAAATAATCACGAATCGATGAAATTAATACACTATAAACGATTTCGCAATGTTTAAATCCTGAATAAATTTTACCGATATGAAAAAGTAAATATTTTATGTATTTTATTAGAACATAGCAAAAAAATACGATGATAAACATTGTATTTGAATGAATTAGAAAACTTATTTTACATATCATAACATATTTTGCATTAACCTATGTAAATTCATCATGTTTGTCCTTTCATACGATGTTAGTCAAAACAAACATTTCGAAGGGATTTTAAAACTTTATGATTATCGTTAAAGCTGTTACTAATAGTTCATATTAGCGAAAAATTAGACAGATATTCTTCTATCAATGGTAACTTTATAAAGTTAAAGCCTGCCCAACTTCACATGATGAATAAAGAACTTCCGTGCCGTGTATGAGATTCAATCTCCTCACACCCGAAGGCTTCATCTAGTTCCGCCATCTCGACATTTTCGCAAACGAACCCAATTTTTCGCCTTGCTGTCATTTTGGGAGCTGCAAGACGACACTCCGCAGAATTCTTTTCATTTCCGCGGAAAATTTTCCGCAGCTTCGAGACGAGTCATTTTATTTGGAATTCTCCCAACTCCTTTTCGAATTTTTAAAAATAAAAAAAAAATACCGAGATGAAAGAACGTTCGTTGCAGTTTAGCGCATTTGGTAGAATGACTAAATATTGCGAAATTTCGAGAAAAACTGTTTCAGTTACGCTTGGGGCCGAAGGTCTTGTATTTTAGCTAATTTTTAGCCTCTCAAAGTTTTTCAGCCTGAAAAATAATAAAAGTCTACCTTCTTTGAATATTTGTTGAAATAACGCGGTCAATTTTCTGAAGTTTGTTTTAAAAAATTTCTGCTTATGGAGTTGCGATGTTTAAGGTAAATTTCCGAATAATAGCAATTTTTGGGGGGCCGATGGCAGACGCGAAATATTTTTTCCTTCATCAAAGCCCTCATGAATATTATACAAAATGTTCATTACACATGTGCGCAGTATACACCGTAGTATCTTTAAATCTCAGTGTGATTGATATCCACAATTATAAACTTTTTAATACCAAGTATTTTGTTCATTTTCTTTAATAACTGTCTGAATTACATATCTTTTCGCTAGTTTATTATGCTTTTTTATCGACCACTTTTGCTAAGCAATGCGTATTCATTAGTGGAACCGATCGAAATGTGACGCATGCAAGTTATTTAACAATATCGAGGTAATTATATTAGTTATTTATTAATAAATAGTACCATGAATATATCTGGGACCTGAGAGCTAAATATATTAATTCCATATTAGACTTAATAAATGAAATGATAATCGTACCGGCTTATCAATTATCTAAACGGTAAAAGTTTACAATCAGTGACTAGCATAAATGGGCCAAAAATTCTTTTTTGACATTTCCCTCCAGTGGTGAAGCGACTTTTTTCTATATACATATGAGCGTAAGTCGAAAGTCAGGAAAACATACCGATGCCTCAGGTGACGACTGTGGTAAATAAACGATATTTTCATTCATTAAATTTGTTTAAAGGCATGAACTAATATCATTGCTGGGAAGCCGCTGAACTGGGCGTCAACTTTATTCCCGCAACATAAATATTTTGACGTTTATATTAATATTGACTTATATGTTTTGGAGGCACAAATTGGTGAAAGTTGTTTACGTCGAGCATTCGTCACCAACACTGATAGACTCAGAGATCTGCGCAAACAACTTCGTCATGTAGCTCACAACATTGAAAATTTACTGCTTCCGACAGTTGCAAACCTTTACATTTTGCACAGATGGTGCCAAGCAAGTCGTCCCGTACCACTGCAAGCTGACTTTGTAGGATATTGTAGCATTATGACCTGCAACAGTCTTAATTTTTTTCTATTAATCCAGCCAAGAATTAATCTGTATTCAGTGCCGATTTTATCACGTAAATTTGCTCCTATATTCAGTTCATCACTTGCTCTGTATTGCATTGTTGTACTACCACAAAGTATATATGGTAGTATTAAAATTATAATAACTCCATTATGTACTTTAATTGCATTCTCATGATTGAACTAACTCCTGTTATGCAAACACAAATTTCGCCCCAAATATAATTCTACATTTGCCATGAACAATATTAACCTTGCAAACAATTTGAATTTGTTCCAGTTTATATACTTAAGGCATGAAATTTATTTAGTGTCAATAAATTTCAAGTCCCATTTAATTCTCGAACAGTCAGATTTGTGAAAGTTATATCACAGACTAAAACTGTGATACGTATCTGTGTAATCACAGACTAAAACTGTGATACGTATCTGTGTAAAATAAATTATACTGTAGAATTACGTCCGACTGAATGTTAAATTTCCCATTGTCAGGAAACTTCTTGGTTATGAAATAAATTGGAGTTTGCAGTTTTCCTCATATCGTCGAGATAAAGGTTTTAACGAGCTAGCTCAGGCCGCGTGCTAATGGTGAATCAACAATCTAGATTCTCAGGACCTTGGCCTAGATGATGGCCCTGAACTGCGCTCAGTCGTACCTCAGGACTCAAGGAAAGCTTGCCTGAACTAAATCTTGCGTCTCGGCAAAAGGAGGAATGCAATT